TATAATGTTGGCTACTTGATCGTGTCTATGTTTGTAGTCTGTTCGGGTTATTGACTTGCACGCGCCTGTTATATGCTGAATCGTTTCTGGAGAGCTATGGCATTTCCTACATGTGTCATTATTTAAATTCTTTATGATAAACTTTCTGTATTATTATTATTATTGTAATCTTCTAGGCACTGAAAACGGTTTCGTAACTCGAGCTGAAAAATTACGGGACTTCGGATTAGAGCACTAGGGTGACGCAATGTTGACTTCATTAGACGAGACCGCTCCAACTTAACGTTTAGGTTCAGTGTGCCTCTAACCATTCAGTGATCGCTACCAGTTTTCACCCTCACGATCACTGAGACATCACTGAACAGTTGCCGTCTAGTCATCATAACGAAGTCAATCTCAATTTTTGTCTAACCGTCGTGGCTCGACCATGTCCACTCCCTGTGGGGCCGCTTCTGGAAGAAAGAGTTCATCATAACGAGTCCCTCTTTCTCCATGAAGTCAGCCAGCTGCTGGCCCCTTGGGTTCCGTTGCCCTATTCCGAATTTCTCTACCTTCAGCTCACCGCACTTTCTTGTGCCTAGTTTTGCATTGAAGTCACCCATTACAGCGTATAGTGGGTTTTGTAGGAATGCATGGCTTTAGAGATATCCTCATACATTTCCTCCACCTCCTTATCGGGATGTGACTAGGTTGGTACGTAAGCCTGTATGACCTTTAACGAATACCATTTGATTATTCTGAGTATAAGGTACGCAACCCTCGTTAACACTCACAATCCTTACAACGTTGGTAACGAGAGACTTGTGGACAATAAATCCGACACCTTCTTGGGACAGATAGTCGCCCTCCCAGTGATAGAACAAGTTGCCGGATTCAAGGATTACCGTGTCCTCCCCTTCTCTTCAGACTTCAGATAATCCTATAAAATCCCGTCGCAACTTGTCTATCTCTTCCCCCAGCTCCAGGATCTTCTCGTCAGGCCTCAGGGTGCGTGGGTTGTATGTTGCCAGGTCAAGTCGTCTTAGGTGGCAACCGAACCTCCATCGGAGATTTTTAGCACACCCTGCCCCGCCGTTACCATGGTCGCCACCGTAGCCAGGAATAGCGGGGCTACCAGGGTCTAGCGGCTGTCTCTTCGTAACTTTCGTCATGGAGAATGTATGCCATAGCTGCCTCACTTGGCGAGCGTGTTGGCAACCCCAGTTTGTTTTATTTTAGTATTGTTGTCATCAGGAAGACGCTGCTGCACATCTCCTGCCTGTTTCCCACTGTCGCCTCTTACGACACCCACGGGAAGATATGGGGTAGTGGATATTCTTAACCACCGCTACATGGCAATTAATTAGCAAACAGGTAATATGACTTTATCAGTTTTTTTACGCAACTGTTTTGACGTCGTGAATGACGCTATTTACGAAACAAAAAAAATATCGCATAATATGTTTACATAGATGTCTTCTGTAATTTCCATATTGTTAATTATCTTGCATAATCAGCAGTGGAAGATAATTTTTAATTGATGGAATGTTTCGTGCCTTGAGATGTTGAGATGATTAACTTCACTCATTGTGTAAAGACATTGTATGCTTGGTTTTTAATAATAGCGTCTCAGCGATCCATTCAAAATATAATTTTACATAAAATACTATTATTTTACTCGTAAACAATAAAGACGAGTAGGTAGGTTATATAAATATGAATGATTCCATGAAGAAAAAAAACGTGTGTACATAACAAACACGGGGTAAAAGTGAAACCCTGAGAAAACTAAACGAGAGAATGAGACTAATTCAAAGTAGGTATCACAAATAGGAATCGTGGGGTTTATTTATTATAGTATTTTTACCAACTTTAAGAATCATTTTACATTTTGTTCTACGCCTAAATTTTAGTGTACTAAAAAAAAAGAATAATTTTTTTTCGAGTAAAATTGCACCGTAATAGCGCGATCGACTTCATTCTATAGTTAAAGCAATTATAAGTATATTGAACAAAAATTGTGCGACCCTCAAGGTGGTACGTAAAATAGACGCTAGATGGCCTAAACACGACTAATTAAATATAAATCGGGTAGTTATGAAATCGTGGATTATTATGAATGTATTTTGTATATACAACATTTATTAAATAATAAAAATTGACCATATATTTGTATTCAATATGGTTAATTTTTATTATTTAATAAATTTGTTAATTTTTAAAAAACGTTTCTATTTAACAGTTTAAAGTTATATTAACTATCTTTAAAGCCCGCCCAAAGAGGTGACCGAGATAATAGGAAACATTGTCGTTTTTTTTAATACTAGCAAAGCTATTAACATCTACAAATATTCCATTTAACTAGTACTGGTAAGCTGAAAATGCTTGTATTAGGTGTGGCTCGTAACAGTAGTCATTGAATGGCGGATTCGAACTCACAACCTTTTGAGTTCGCGATCCGCACCCTGCCATTAGGCCTGAATTCCTCCTACACTGAAGTCGGTTGCGTACGTCGGTCGCGCGTACTAATGTACATTGTGTCACAGAATAAATAAATTGTGTTCTATATAGATAGCCCCACACTACGACGCAGACGACAGCGGCACGTAGTTTGCTACGTACGGGTACGCGGCCGACCGTACGCAACCGACTATTGAAGCTTACTACGCTGTATTCTATCTCATTCTCTCGCTAAATACGTATATGTTTGTCTCTTTTTAGTGGTTCATTGAGTTTCAAATCACAACGATGCTAAAGATGTTTTCACTTAAAAAAAAAACTGTACGAAATCTATTAAGAACTTAGAATTAATCAATAAAAATCATTAAAAATCACTCACATTTCTTTGAAAATTTCTTGGAAATTAAGGCATTCTTTGAATAAATTGTACAGTACCATGCTGCAGCTATATTTCATGATGTAGCTATATTTATACGTGGTAGAGTATATTAGTACTATAGTTGTAGCACGAATGAATCGGCTCGACCGGGGAAGGACTACGCACTCACAGAACACTAGCGTAAAGTAGCAGCTTAACGCTGCTGTGTTTCGTATGGCGAGTGTAGAGAACCGGAGACCCCTTTTAGTGGAAACAAGGCATTCCATCTTAGTCCTCACGGTTGACAACGCATCTGCATTTTGATTTATACTCGAGGATAGATGTAGATGTTATGGGCCACAGTAACCACTTACCATCGGATGGACTGTGGGCTCGTTTGTTACCCTTATCTTATATAAAAAAAACATTATATTTAAATAAAAACTAAATAAATAAAAAAGTTAAGAATGAACCAGAATCGTCACAATGCTAAAAGTCAGACGGAGTCACCATTGTAACACGCAAAATCACAAGAACGATTGGTGTGCATTATATACATTGCAGCTTATATACCACACATCATAAAAACAGCAAACCTTGTTTTTAGAACCTGTGGGGTAGATCAAAGTATACGGCGGCCAGTATCAACGGAGACTAGCCATCTAATATATGCGCAAGCACACGTGCACATCTTTTCCCTCACTCTCATAGTCCTATAGAACGGCAATTCAATACGACCGAAGAGAGATTAGGCACAGGATCAACGGCTTAACGTGCTTTCCGCGGCGCGGGAGTAAAACACCGCCAATATCTTGACTGGTACTGAGAATATCATGAGAGAAATACCTATCCGGGATTAAGCCTTTCCGGATGAGGATTCGAACCCTAGATCGCCGGGTCGCTGCATGACCAGAAGTCGTACTAACGATGAATAGATCAACGAGACAGTCAAAGTGAAGACTATGAGTACAAAGAAGTGTGGATGACGGCGAGGGAAGATCAATATCTAGTGTCTAAAATACTCTAGTGTCAAAATTAGATTTTGAATATTTTAGACATGGATTTAACAAGAAATCAATTTGTGAACCTTGGAACGAGCGACGCAAGTGCATGTACTAAAGGCTAGACTAGCAGAAAATAATTTGACACGCGAACACTTTAGATGCTAGATAGTTGGATTAGGGTCATGTTAATAACGTGCATTATGCTAATATAAGAAAATTTATTTTTGTTTATTGCATATTGGAGGGTAAAAAATATACACAAAATATGGAGAACCATTAAAGAAATTCTCTTTTGAAAAAAAGAACGCTTGAAAAAGCTACTTCATACTGCTGAAATATATGTCAAAAATTTCAAATGAGCGGGAGCGTAGAATGCGTTTTTATGAATGTGTTACGTAGTACTCGTAGTATATATGAATGCCATATACATGCCTGGCCAGATTTATATATTAAGAATATAAATATATTTAGAATCGCAACGCTTATGAATTTTATAAATAAGCACTTGCCAAATTTTATAATTCGAGAACAATCAGAAATCGATGTTCGCCGGCACTAAACAATTTGTTAATGCTTGGCGCTAACGGCAACATCGAGAGGAAAATGTGTAAGAAATTTAAAAAATATTTTAAGATCATGCGTAGTCCAACACACATTAGTGCAACGTGATGAATTCTTCCCTGCTTCAAATCCCCCTCAGAAATAATACTTTTCAACCGTATTCAAAAATGAGGTTCGATAATCGAGGTTGTGGTGTTTTTCTTTGTATGTTTACCGTATTATAATGTTTCTTCCATAACTAAATATGTTGTTTCAGGGATACATAGATGTAACAATTTAGACGACATTCTAGTTGATACCTTAAAATTTGTGAATTTATTTATATAAAAAATTATAAAAATTATAAACTGACATATTGATTTTTATATATTTTTAAATATTTTTTAATTTTTTAAATATTTTTTTTAAAAACTAAAGAATAATAATATATTTTCCAAATAGCTTCTTATGCCTGGGTTTCAATTCTTCGATACATTGTCTTATCACCTCCTTTTTTAGTTTTTGAAGTTACTTTCACTTTTTCTTTTTAAATTTTAGTTTTTCCGTTTTTAAATGACGCTATTAAACAGTTTTGACTTTTGATTTTCTTAAACTAACAGTGATGATGTCTTAGTATAAACATACTACAAATGACTTACCTTTCTCGTATATACTCATAATAGTCTGCTAGGATGTCTATTGCAGCCTTACCAAACTCTCGAAATTGTTGACTGTCTATTTCCATTTTGCACTTGATTAGATTAAACACTTCTCACAAACCGACCGACCGAAACCGACTAAAATGTTTTGAGACTAAAATATAAAATTATAACTTAAATAAATACAAACTATGCATTACAAGGGAAGCATGAAAGAGCAGGTAGATTAATATAAAGATTGGTCCAAGAAGTATATGAAGCTATGATGACGTCTTGAGAGACAATGAAGGTTCGAGTTGACGAGAAGTGGATTTATAGGCGCACACCAGCTTTCTACCGTGCACGAGCGTCCGTAGTAGCTGTAATTGAGTATTGTTAGAATGGAATACCACATCAAGGATATTATTATTATTATTGTATATTGTCAAACTTCAACTCACATGGGAATAACATTCAGTGGAGTTAACAAGATTAGTATATAATAAAAATAGGAGCCAATAAATTGTACTAATTGGCGTCGTGACTTAAAAATTATGTAATGTGTTTTTGAAATAAATGTAAGTACATAAAAGTTTGTTAAACAAAAAAATGTTTCAATTATGATAATTTGGTATTCATAATAAAAAGGGAAGTGGGGAGTAACTAATGCCGAATAGTAATCGAGTATTTTCATAATTAGATATGATAATAAAATTGGTAATATGATTGTATTTTTTTTTCAAATTTAAATCATTGGATTAGTGCCGTAATATCATCGAAAACGCAGAAACAGACTTTTTAATCGGTTGTAGTGTTGCCGGTCGGGTAATCATGGCCCAGTGGCTCGGTCAAGGTGGCAGGCGACGCGGTGCGGTACCTCTTTACTTCCGAAGTCGCTTGAACGGTCATGGGAATCTGCTTTCCGGGATGTTGATGATTGTTTGAATCAAATATTTTTGCTCTTTGGGCGTCCTCCAACTTTCATTATGATAGGTGAGTGTGAATTTTTCTTGTCTACGGTATTAAGATTAAATGCTAGTGACCCTTATTTTGATCAGTCAACTTTAATAAAAATGTTAAAAGTTTTATAATAATAACAAAGTAGTAAGCAGAGATTATCACACAATTTATCAATTTATTCCGTTGATTTTTTTTTATATAAGTCTGTGTGTAGATGTAAGATATTCTACTTCTTATATTTTGGCTACTCATTGAATGGTGTATTATTTTACTCAATGTATTAAACTTAATATGATGATTGCTTATATTTACGCAAACACTACACATTGAATAAAACTATCTTTACTTATTTTATCGTATTTAATTGAATAAGGGTGCTACAAAGCACCACATGTCAATTTAAAAATAACTGAACTTAAACGCGATAAAATCCGTAAAAGTAGTTTTATAAAATTAATAAGTTTAAAATTTAACGATCATTGCGTAGCAGCAACAATGTGGATTATTAGCCACTTGTTGTTTGCTTTGACTTCACCATACGTGGAGTCTACGTTTCTTTGTAAATTCAATTTTTGTTTATTTACGTGGTAGAGCCATGCTGCAGCTATATTAATTGTATAGTTGTAGCAAAAATGGGTCGGCTCGACTGGGGAAGGACCACGCTCTTACAAAATACCAGCGTAAAATAGCAGCTTAATGCTGCTGTGTTTCGTATGCTGAGGGTAGAGAACCGGAGACCCTTTTTACTGGAAAAAAAGGCATTCCATGTTAGTCCTCGCGGTTGACAAAGTATCTGCATTTTAATTCGCGAACGAGGATAGATGTAGATGTCTATGGGCCATAACAACCACTTAACATCAGGTGGACTGTGTTCTCGTTTGCCACCCTTATCCTATAAAAAATCTCTCCACAATACAAGCGAAAAGCTATGAAGGAGAAAAGTTTCAAGATCTAAGCTCAATTTTGTTCATCTTCTACCCTCTATCTCAAAAACAATTTTTCGTGCCCGCGTCTGAGAAAAGGGTCTTGACAGACAAACAAACGGACAGGATACTGACAATAAAATGATCCTCTAAAGGTACCGGGTTTTTTCCTTTTAATATCGGTAACCCATAACATCCGTACATAATTTTCAGAAAATTGCTAGAAAAAAGAAAAATATAAGGCTACATATTATATTTGATCGTGAAGCGGCTGTGTAAGAATATTCACTACCTCATAATATCATCTCGTGGGTGTCGTAAGAGGTGACAAAGCAAACCAGGAGATGGGTAGCAGCGGTTTCCAAGTAACAACTATGGCGAATATCCCCCTCAAGAGGCGTATCTATGAGGAGGCCTATGTTCAGTAGTGGACTTTGATAGGCTGTACTGTAAACAATATTTGAAAAAATTAAACACAAAATAATGAATTGGTGCTTCAAAAATATTTTATTGTAATTGATACTCTATATATTGTTTTCACATGAACCCCTTAAGCTAAAAATATGAAATTTTAACCTCACGTTTAGCATATTTTACAACATGTATGTTAAATATTGATCACTTATGAACACTTTAAGCGTGTTTTTGCTAAACTTCAATTATCTAAGTGAAACACTTCGAAAATTGTAGAAAAACCTCTGTGATAGCACACGAGTAAAGAACTTATGTGGTGATAGTCAAATGCCGAAGTGACTTGATAAACGTTGTGGTTCTAAAAAACTTTTTTTATACTTATTACAAGCCAGTGCTTGACCACAATCCCACCTGATGGTAAGTGTTAAGGTGATGCAGCCTTAGATGGTAAATCGCACTGTCTTATCGTAACTTGCCCTTTGAACACTATCTTTACTTTCGCTAAAAGTGTGAATGTTACTTATAACATTGGTTAAATAATATTGACAATCTACTGTCTTTTATTCGAATAAAATGTGTGTCTACTATCCTTTTTTCATAATTCTTACTTTGTTATTAAAGTTATGTACTTTTATGAAAGGTTATTTGATAAGTCAATTTAATTAAAAGCTCAATGAACAAGAATAAAATTATTTATATACAATTTTTTCCTTTTTGTTGCGTTTTTACATAATGCTGTAAATGTAAGAACTTATACTTCTTATTTTTTGGCTAGGTACTCTTATTAGACTTCTGTCAGTATCATATCACTCATGGGAGTAACAACATAAATAAAACTTAATGTGTTCATAGTTTCAGGATCATAGCGTTACAACAGCATCGTGGCTAAGAATTTGCTTTAATGGTAATCATTTAGAATCGTTTGGCAGGAGGGGGGGAGGGGGGGGGGAGGAAGGAATGGTAGTGTTTCTTACCCCTGACAACACTCGCGTGAAAAGGTAATATACAGTTCTTAAAAAAATTAAAAATATCCCATACACCTATCCTCAAAATGATAACATTTATCGTCTCCAGCAGAAGTGGGGAAGGGTCGGGGTAGGACGGTCTGAATGCGGGCATATATCACAAATGTAAGGATTTCCGAGTGCTCATGTATTTCTGGGAGGTAAACATTCTTACCTAACTCAAGTGAAAGAATTTCTGGGTGCTCAAGTATTTCGGAGCAGTTTTAAACATTTCAGCAATAAAACAACTGTATAAGTATAATAATAATTTCTTTATTGTCTGTAAACATAATTTTTACGAGTTTAAGCGTACGGGGTAGAAAAGCAGGTAAGTCTACATGTAGGCAAGCAATCGGTATCCAAATGCACGCACAGGTCAGTCGAGCAGGCAGATAGATGTCCGGGGTACAAAAGCAGGTAAGTCGTTGTGTAGGCAAGTAATCAGAATCCAAAACAGAGAAAACAGTCGTCGTCAAAAGTCACAATAATACACTGGAGAGCACACATTCACGCAAGAAGAGCAACTAATGGCGGAACGGAATGTATAAAAATTAGTACGTCATCGATTTGACACTTGACAGAGAGTATAGACCATAGAAGAATAAAAATACCCTAGAAGTATAATAATATGAGACTAGTCTTTGACATGGTCGTACGTCTTTGTCACTCTTACACAACATTATGTATGCTATCCAGCTTTCACAGTAATATTGTATTCTTCTTTTTTCATGTTTTACCCATTAATAGCTTATAATACTCAGTTTATTTTTATTTTCTCGGAAACAGTGCATCAATATAATCGAAGACCAAACGTCTACCAAATGGAACACCTTACCAAATGCCAAACGATTCTAAATCCCAACCCACTTTAATTTTTCTACGTCTGAGTTCATGTTCAATTGCAATTTATTAAAAAAAAAGAACCAATTCCTGCTGTGTCTTATTTCTGTTTATTATTTAAATTTATTTTATTAATTATCAAATTTTGCCAATGCTGATATAATATGATCTAAGACGTAGTCCATCACTATGAGGAAGCTCGAGGTTTTGCAGCAACCCATGGAGAGAACTATATTCGAAATTTGTCTGCGTGATAGACGTCGTAATTTGTTGACAGTTCACAAAGATTGACACGACTTAGCTTGTATCCTCAAAATAAGTATAGCTTGTATCTTGGTCGTAAAAGGGGCAGCTGATAATGAGGTCCCGGGGTCGATTCCCAGGGCGGGCCGGAAATCAATTATTTATTATTAGTTTTTATTTAGTTTTTCTGTCCAGAAATTTGGAGTCAGTCAGAAAGTTGGAGGTGTTTCACCCGCGAGCCTCGTAAAGCACGTAAAGCCATTGGTCCTGCGACTGATCGCTCTCCGGTCGCGGTCGTGTCGGATTGTCGTTCCATCGAATTATGACAGTGAGGGAATAGGGAGTGCACCTGTGCTTGCGCATACACTGGCCACTATAATCCTGACATACGCAGAGGGCTAATAATCTATGTAGATAGAAATTCGGTTTGGAGGACATTAGGAAAGGCTTAGGAACAAATCTTTGGTTAAAAGGTTGGTTTGGTTCTGTGAATAGTTCTTGATGGCACGGTTCTTACCGACAACATTGTACAAATTAATGTGGATGTACGACAATGTACACATCGCTGTAGCGAGTGTGCACTTAAAATATGCATCTGCAATTCACCTGGTGTTGCAGTTGTTCATGGGCGGCGGTACTCACTTACCATTAGGTGAGCCGCATGTTCGTTTGCCCCATCTCCTATGAAAAAAAATCAAATACTTAGCGCGAGGTACGTTCGCTTTTATTATTATAATTTTATATTGAGACCAGTAATTATTCAAATGTGTTGCATGGTGAAATGTGTTCTTAGGACTGCAGACAAAATGATAATAAGGTAGTATCAGAATCACAATAACTGACACAGTTCAACGGATGAAGCTGTAGTGGCAATGGGTTGGCCATAGAGATCGTGATCTTACAACTGATGAGGATGAACGGTCATTGAGCGGCAGCCTCAAGCTGGTAAGCGAAGTTTAGGGCGGTCCCTCACTGGAAGGAGTAACGATCTGGGGAAGACATGCAGACAGTCGATGGATACAGGTGCTTCTGGTCAGCGTTATGTGGCATTCCTTGAGGGAGGCCTATGTTCAGCAATGAGCTTGGCAGTAATAATGATGATGATGATGATGAGAAATAAATTATGAGTTGGTACAGAGATGCGCCTCATGTAATACCAGCCAGTATTACAACATTTTGATACAGTCATTTGAATTATGGCATTATCAGTGATCTATACATTTTTAATTTAATACACATTATATGAAATTCTTTCATTGTTTAAGCTTATCTTGAAACTAAGAAACGACGTTGGAGACAATAAGTGAGAATTCGAAAAAGAAATTACAATGTTAGTAATTAGTTTGCATCTGTGTATATTTTCTCTTCATTAGTATCTAAATCACGTAAGGTTACCAAACTCGTATCGTAGCCAAAAAACTGTCTCTAAATGATTTTGTGGCTTTGTTTGTTTGAAGTAAAAATGTTAAAGCTGACTTCTCCGGTTTTGTAAATTCAACTTTCCAACGATTTTTTTTAACACAGCATTTAGTCTGTTACTTATATTAATGTTTTAATGAGCATAGGTGATACGGTTTAAAGGTTTAAGGAAAATGTTCTCAAACCTTTTAATTATTTTAAACATCAGTTACTAATAAACTCTTCAATCGAGTTCAATGTTGACGTTTTGTGGCGCAGTGGCTTAGCATTAAGTTGCAGATCTGAGGGTCGCGGGTTCGAATCCCGCACAGAACAAGTATATGTATGGCCTACAAATAATTGTTCCGGGTATGGATGTTTGTCCTTGTGCAATTAATGTATGTAAACTGCCTCCACGATACAGGAGAAAATCCTAGTGTGGATATAAAATCTATATAAAAGAAAAAAGAAAGAATCACGTATTTAATTAATACTAAAAATGCATTCTATAAATTTTTGATAAGGAAGCTTGTTGTTGTTTAGAATGTTTAATTTCGCAATTTCAAGGTTAATAAATGTGGCGGGCTAAAGTTAAAGTAGAAGGAACTTTATTGTAACACGCAATGTGAAAAAATACTGATAATTTCCGTAGTAATTATAACAGTTATTTAATCTGTAAATTTATTCTTATTTTAAGACACATAAACAATTGATGTAACCTTCAACATGACGTCCAAGAGAAACAATTAAAAAATAAATTTTTAAAATGTTGGCATTAGTAATCAATGGACAAATTTCTCACAAAAACGAAGAACCTGTCAATTCTTTGTCAATTCACGATTCAATTTATAAATGTATAATATTTCACTCTCTTTCTTCTTCATTCTCTATGAAGAGGACCCTGTAAGCGCGCACATCCATACCACATTCTGAGGTGAAAGTTACAGAATATTTTTCGGATTTATTGTGTACCGGTACCGTTATTGGCAATACTAAAGTTGCGTCAGTATGCTGAGCCAATGTCACTCGGTCAAAGCCCAATTCGAGAGCGTGCGCCGTTACCAGGAAGGAGGTCTCATTACGAAGGATATGTCGCACCTCGGACATATTTGTGCCGCCTTCAACCAACAACATGCTGAGTATTATCCGGCCTGTAGCTGTTTCTGGAAAAAAACAATTAAAATAATATTTTTTTTTGACAGGAATAATATTATTTTAATATTCTACAAAAATGTAATGTTTATTAATTTAAATATGTGGTAGGTATATTTGTAAAATTAAGTTAATGTACTATGAGAATAGAATAATATTTTTCGTGAAACCTTTCATATATTGTATATGACTTTGAGTATAAATAAGTAGCTTGCTTATAAACACTAAGGTATATGTAGTTACAGAGCTTTGATCAGTGTTAGAAATGAAAATTTCCTATTTAGAGATAGAGTTAGTTATACGAGATAGAGAAAGATTAGTATCGAATGCTCCAATATTAAAAATGTCTAATTTATTTAACTGAATTAATTTTACATTTCTAAATTATATTTTAAGAAAAGCAAAACATTACCTATATAAATACAAAATTTTCTTCCAAATCGTTAGAGCTGTTTCAGAAAAACCTTTTATATAGGTATTTAAAAATACAAGATTTGCTTACGATTTTAAATTTTAAGCGCTTTTAAAATTAATTAATAATTTAATTTTTTTAAATTATCGATGAAAACGGTGTTCTTGAAATTATGAACCCAGGATCGAGCTTCATGCAACTAAACCTTATTTTGTTGCTAAGCTACATTTAATTAATTTAAAACTTATTTAATAAATTTCTCTATAACTCGTGACTAATTTAGATTAAATGAAATTACATTTTTTTTCTTTTATCTTCTTTTCTTATGCAAATCAATGTATATAATGGCGTGTAATACATAACTAACAACTTATTATTAAAGCATACAAATGACAAGCAAAGAACAACCCACAAACAACGCACTGCTGGGCCTCTGTGGCGATCATATATCTAAGAGTTGTATATTATAAAAGTTAAAAACATAATATTCCCCCTTCAAAATTCTCTTACTTATCATCATCAACATTACAGCCATTCACAAGTCCACTGCTAAATGCCTCCCCCAAGGAATTTCAGAAAGCGCCTAAAGTCCTAAGCCACCAGCATTCATCGACTTCCCGCATGTCTTAACCAAATCGTCACTACATCTAGTAGGGGCTGCCATTTTTTACATGGGGAAATGCCTACGCATACCCGTCTCGCGGGGATAAAGACGGGTTATGTCGGACTCGCACCCACTAAAATCCCATTGTGTTCCACCTTCGTCGCATAACGCTTTCGCCCACATCCGCGGCCCCACCAGCGCCAGCCGTCCCACGGCAGCTCCCTCCCCATTCTATTCCTTAGGCAACGCGCACCAGGAACACAAGCCACGTCCCCCTCCACGGCCTCCAACTCTACCTGCGTAATCCCCCCCCCCCCACCCAGTCCAATATGCGGAGGCTACGAGGCCAGGAAAATCGAGCGATGGTGAGTGATGTATCGTCATTGATGTTAGTACCATCTCCTTTTCAGTGCAGTAGCTTAAAAACGCCTTCCAATGTAGAGGTTAAGTGTTTCGGAGGCCACCCTGTCTTACCCCTCTCTGCAGGTGGATAGGTTTCGTACCATGGTTCTGTACTCGGATAGCCATCGTAGCCCTACTGTATAATAACTTCAGCATTTCGATATATCGACAGTCAACTTGACACCGCTGAAGGGACTGTAACACCGACCAAACTTCGAGGAAAGTTGTAAGAAGGATTTGCATTATTGTCATGCTTGGCAGGCGGTTAGATAACCGCAGTACCAATTGTCTCACACTGTTGACACTGCTGCCCGTTGCCGGTTTGGCGGTTTGTCTGTCTTACTAGTGTGAACGAGATGGTATACCGCAATCTATTCAAATCCATAGAGTTTTTCTGTCATTTGACATAGTCGTAGTAAACGGCTACTTATTTTATTGCTAGCTTTTTTTCGTTGCTTTGCTTGCGTGCACTATTATCTACGCGAAAATTTGCGTAAATTAGCATTTTTGGCATCATCTCGTTGCCGCCTGTCAGTGTATCTGTCTGTCAGTCACAAACGTTCCTCGCAGCGACTTTTTCACGAAGGTGATTTGACCGTTTCGAGTATGTTTGATTCACAGTCAGGTTTCCTCACGATGTTTCCCTTCACAAACGAGCACGTGGTGAATCAGCGCCCAAAATCAAACACGGTTAGCTCGTGTCGTATTGTCAAACGATAGCACGATTTATATATATTATTTTCCATCGAGTTTTATTTTATAGTGCACTTAATTTTTTTATTGTCTTCATGAGGTAACTGGATTGAACAAGATTTTTCTTTCCCATCGGTTGTCGGTTCTTCGAGCTATATGGCTGGCTCATTGTCACTGCAGCTCACTAATCATTCATCGACATGCAGGAAGTCGATGGATGCAAGTAGCTCAGGACCGTACTTTGTGGCTTTCCTTGAGGGAGGTCTATGTTCAGCAGTGGACTTGTGAAGGGCTGTAATGATGATGATGATGATTCAATTACGCATTCTGTGGGTCTATGGTTGGTTTGTTTGAGTCGTATCTGCGTGGTAAAACTATCTATATACTCGTAGTACTTTAGTGTTTTAGTACTACATGGTTATAAAATACATATTATACTACATAGTTTATACGTGGTAGAGCCATGCTGCAGCTATATTAATAGTATAGTTGTAGCACGAATGGGTCGGCTTGACCGGGGAAGGACCACGCTCTCACATAATACCAGCGTAAAATAGCAGCTTAATGCTGCTGTGTTTCGTATGGTGAGTGTAGAGAACCGGAGACCCTTTTTACTGTAAACGAGGAATTCCATGTTAGTCCTCAAGGATAACAACGCATCTGCATTTTGATTCTTAATTGAAGAAAAATGTAGATGTCTATGGGCTACAGTATCCACTTACCATCAGGTGGACTGTGTGCTCGTTTGTCACCCTATGCTATAAAAAAAAGTTATCTGATAACTATATATTATCTAGTTCTGGCGTATCTTAACGTTTTCTATAATGATTTGGATCAACAAATAAGGACCAGTAAGGTCATAAATTAATTGTTCCAACGATTCACACATTTTACAAGACGATGTTGATAGTGTAGTAAATTATTGGTGTCACATTAATAATAATGAATCCCAATAAATGTTCTCAGATCTCTTTCAAACGTAAATTGACACCATATAAAATGGAATATAAAATAATAAATGAACTTACTTACTTACTTACTTATCTTCACGCACAATCCCTGACGGGGTAGCCAGAGAGAACAGATCGCCAAGTGTCACGATTCTTACATACCTCTTTCGCTTCTTTCAGATTCATTATCTTCTTCATACATGCACGTCTAGGTATCCGAGTACTCTTGACCCTACCCTCTTCGAGCAATTTGCTCACATGGTCTTCGAAAGTTAGTCTCGGTCTACCTCGACACCTCTTAATATTAACTTTCGCGCTATATATTTTCTTCACCATTCGGTCTTCACTCATTCGCTCAACGTGCCCAAACCACCGAAGCACGCCCTTATCAATTTTTGTGATAAGGTCATCTTTCAAACCTGCCATATTGCGAATCTCTTCGTTTCGCTTTCGGTCGGCCATGGTAACGCCGCACATTTTACGAAGAGATCGCATCTCCACTGCATTCAACTTGCTTTTATGCTTCTTCTGGCATACCCAGGTTTCGCTGCCATATAACAAAGTCGGTACCAACACTGCGTTATGTATTGCAAGGCGTGCACTCTTCACTACGCCTTGCCTTTTGACTAACGCAGTCAGGGCACCATTGACTTTGTTCCCGGCAGCGACACGCCTGTCCACATCTAAATCACATCTTCCATCCCGGCTAAAAGCACTCCCCAAGTATACAATTTCATTTACTTGTAATAATAAATGAAGAGTTACAGATTTTTGATCTTGTTGGGGATTTAGGCATTTTTGTGGATTCAAAACTGACTTTTTCCATAAATGGACCGCATGATAGAGAAAACTTTAAGGAATTTAGGCTTCATATTAAGAAATAGTAACATTTAAAAATATCATAAAAAATTAATATCATGTCCGCAGTATGTTATATTATGGAAGCGTAATTTGGTCACCGTAGTACAAAGTTCAACTACACGACGATCACAACAAAAAGCATTTAAGAGGAATCTCGTTGATTGTTGTAACAAATGATAAGAAACGTTTTGGATATCATGAGAAGTTAAAATTCTTTGGTGTTGACAGCTTGCAAACCAAAGAAAGTACTTTGATATGGTATTGTTTTATAGAAAAAAAGAAAAAGAAAATATAAAGATCCAAGAGTTTATCCCCGTAAATATGTACCTTTGTTCTATCCACTTCCGTCCAAATCAAATCTAGGTCATAACATGCTTGTTGGCAACAGCAGAGACTTTTTTCCTAGATAATGTTAGAATACTATAATACAATAATGAAACGAGTTACATACCTACAAGTTCATCGAAAATTTCTATCATCTTTTCCGACGCATTTTCTAAAAGAGCACATCGCAGTGATTTTATCATCAAATCATTACGATGAGGGATCGTCAAAGCAGTCGTACGATAACATTCACAAGTTTCACTGCAACTGCAAGGTATTAATGGCCATTTATCAATATGGGCATACACAGTATCGGTAACAATTTCGCACCGAGGTTGTGACGTCACTTTAATAAAAAATTCTCCGATTTCACTTCTAAACCAAACCCAAGTATTTCTGATTTGAGTGTCCAAACATATCAGATGAAAATGTATTTTGTGTTCTAAAACGTCTTGTCCGCTTTCCTTTGGTATACCGGTTAAAACTACCTCTTTATCGGTGAGATTTAGTCTTCTTGCGTAAAACTTATATTTTGTATCTTCACGAATATCTAAAGAAGCTGAAGGTTCTTTATCTGTTATAGAAATTCGATAAGTAGCAGTAATCATAAAAGGTGACGATACCAATATATCTACTTTTTGTGGTCTATAACTTGGTCCTGTGACTTTGCATTTTCTTAAAGGCGTCATTGTTCCTACACTTCCAGAAAGAATGAATATAATGTAAGTATCAAAGATTCGTGTTTTATTGTACCCATGTACCAGGAGAATCGATTTTTGTTCACTTACAAAATTAGCAATGAAGGTAACACTTACAATGACTCTTTTAGTATTATCAACATCAAATGTTTTCTCAACGACAAAACCACTTTTTTTGTTGTAGAAAAGGACAGTATTGAAATTTAAAGATTCTTGACTTGTTGGAGTTATCGTAATTTTTCGTGTGGAACTTCTTAACAATGGTGGGTTAAATGAAATATTTTCTTTTGGTTTGAACATAGGTAAAATCACATATAAATGTATTGATAGAAAAAGCATTTGTAAAAAATTTGGTTCTAGGAAATCTTTACTGGTAAGTGGAAAATTAAGTCGAAGTTGATTAACTGCTTCAATAATGAGGCACGCATTATTTATTATCCCACTTTGGCATTTGCACTCATTTTCATGGCTTTTTAATGAGAAATGTTCATTTAAGAAAGGACAATAATTTAAAAATGTAGCAATAATAGCAATTCCGTCAGATAGATCGTTTGTGATGTTTTTGATACATTTCACAGTCCCACTTTTCAAACTAAATGTATTAGAATAAATAAGTAGTTGCTCGTTATACCAAGTGATTAATATATTTACAATATCTCTAGATTGCGTAGAATCGCATATACAATCAAAAAAACAACTTTCCAATACAAATACTTTATAACTCTGAAGGATAAAATCTATCCAACATTGTTTGTTTAATCTTTCGAATAATGTTGTATTATTTAAAAGTTCTTGATCAAAGAATTCATCAGCTATACACTTTGGTGGTATATTTTCTATAAAAGTAACGAACTGATCATAACTTAATAGGAACTTTGGTTTTACTGCCCATAAGTTAGCACCACGTGATTTTAATAAATTAATAACTTCTTTATACATAGCATAAACTTCTTTGACTTGTTGAATTGTTTCATCTTTGTTAGACATTCTGAAATATAAAAATATTTAAGACTTTAGTAAACTTAAATACAGTTGATGTTTTATTATACTGCATTGTGTATTTTTGAACTCATTAATGCATACATACGTTACTTTATGTGCGTGTTTTATCATTGGACCAGCAAGTTTTTTAATAAAATTTAAATAAGACACGTTAATTCCTTTTGATTTTGTTTTGTTTTGTGATGGTGTACTATCAGACACTGTGTGAAATGTTTCAGGAATCTTTGGGTATAAATCCTTTCTAAATCCTTGGTAAAACAACCACTTTTCGAGAAATTTCAAGCACGTTTCCATGTAATTATAAAAACCAACTTGGATAGAGATGGGATAGAATGGATACGGATTATCTTCAAGCTTAACATAAGAAGCTGTATGTAACGTAAGAGGACAACATGAAAAACAATATTTGACTTTTATATCACAGCTTGATCCACTTTTGTGTTTGAAGGTGACAACTGTTGTAGATATATATTTTACATGACTGCAAACTGTTATCTCTGCTTGTATGGAAGTAGTTTTATTTTCCATTTCATTGTGTATATTATAATCAAGAAATTTTACTGTTACTACGTTTGGTTCACTTGATATGAAAGAAATTAAACACAAATCAAGTTGTGAGTTAATATTTAAAGTTATAATCTTGGACACTTTTTCACCAACATAAGCAGGTGGCATTATTATCTGAAAAGTACTGGGCTTTATAGTTGGTATTTCATTTACACCGATAAATGTTAAATTATAATAAGGCGTCGTCATGTTTACATCAAGATATAAGAGCGCCGTCGTTATAAATTTGCCGTGGTCCTTTGGATGAAATTTTAAACAAAATTGTGCTTCTTTTAAGGAAATCAATTCAAATTTTATTTGATTGTCACATGTATTTTTTATATTTTCTTTGGATAATAAATGCAAAGAAAAGTTTGGTATTAGCTTTGATGTTAAAATGGTAATATGCAAATTATATTTTGAAACATTTCTCATCGTAAAATCAATGCTATTGGTGCTGTTATGATCATAAACGATTTGAAAATTTTCGGGAGAAAATGTTAACCACGGAAGGGTTATGACGCCCATAAGGTGACAAAAACTAATTTCTTTGCAAACCGGCTTTATTTTCACTTTTGAATTATTTGCATAAAATCTGAAAAAGATATTACACGTGGAAATATTATTATGGAAAAGTAAACATTAATAGATATTAGTATAAGTGTAAAGTCAAGGGGCCACGAAACGGTCAACTGAGACTGTCAATATTTACATCATTGAAGGTTACAAATAAGGAGCGATTGAAGCTTCAATTGTAGGTGTATAATTTGCACATGCCTCAGTTGATTGCAGAAATATGTTGGGATGTCATATGCGTTACTCATAATAATAATTATTATTTCAAATGCAGATATGACTTTTTTTACTTAAAACTATTTTCGTTTGCTATCATTGAATTGAATTGTCATTTTACGTCAATGCCGTAGTAATATCACATGAGTAAAGAAACTGTACCCTACTATCTACAAAGCTTCATACAACCGGGCTATAATAGTTACACTACTACAAGCTAGACGCACGTGTTTGTGTGAGCACCGGCGACTCGTCACGTACAGAGAAAAACTGCTTTATACCGGTTCAGCCCGTGCTTAAATTCAGGGTTATGTAAAGAATAATAAGTGCCAAATTTTGTCTTTCAAAGAATAAAATATAAAAGTGTAAATATGTTTTACTGTTCTGTTTGTATGAACAATAATAGAACAAATAAAATTATATAATTTTTTTAATTATCCCAAAGACTCCACTGGGTAAGTAGTAACTTAACTATAAACTATAAATTTATTTTTAATGTAGTAGATAGATAAGTCTTACATATACCTCAACATTGGAAGAAAACGTAGTAGTACCTTAATTACTTATACGTGATTTAATAGTTATTTTGATAATATTTAAAATTGAATAATTACGTTTATAAATCAAATAAGTATATAGGTTCATGTTTAATATTATAAATTCAGACGATAAGTGTGGTAAAAAGCTGTCGGACGAGAAGATCTCCTTTCAAAACTTTTTGATTATAAAAAAGGCAACAATATAGAATCTGTGAGGATCACTTCGAAAAATCCTAAACCTATTAAGTTTTCGAAAAAAATGACCGTAAGCACATTTATTTATACTTTTTCAACACTCAACTTGTCATTTGTGACGGTGCTTATTCGAGTTCCAGCCAATGTGAGAATGTATCTGAAATTAATGCATGAATGGCTCAAACAAAAATTTCGCGAATATTTGATCTCGAAAGGTACATTGTAAATATTGATATTGAAATAATAAAACGCGTGCAACGTTGTAGATTTGTTATGCCATGTGAGTGCCTTCTAATAAATTATTTGAAAACGCTACATTAGATTATAATTTAGTTAAACATTTTGACAGCTCCTTAGAAGTTTAGCCTCTGTACGGTTTCTTTACTTATGTGGTAATATTGAAAACTAATTTAATTGCATAAAGTGAACAATCATTGTTCGCATCAATGAGCGTCGTTCACGTAGATATTGAAACCGCAATTGACCGTTCGGGAACCCTTTACAAAAACTTACTGCTCATGTTTTTGGACGTAGTATCGCATATCGTGAGATTCTGGATTATTATCTGGAGGACCTATTAAGCCATTTATTCTAAAAGGCATATAGTAATCATACTCCTTTCTGTGCATACCATATACTTGGATGAATATTGTTTCTGATTGTCCCGCATCGATATTCAACTTCGAGACTCTATAGTTTTCATTTCCTTTGTTTATATATACTTTAAAAACATTTTCGTCATTCATATTTAGCACATCTATTTCTATTCTAGCATAACTTATATTTCGTAATGTTACCTGTATGTATGTTGACATGTTACAGGGGATACGTGGCATGCAAACATTTTTTGGCTGTATGTTTATCTTTGGTTCAACCACGTTGCCACTTACAGGGAGCATAACGTTTTCTTTGTTGTTAATTTTTAAGATTATGTCAAAAGTGAATTCTATTACGCAAGAAATTTTCACAATTACATCAAATGTTAGTATCATTTTTGGATAAATTTTTCCACTCATAGGCTCTATTCTGAAACCTGGTAGTAGAGGTTCTACTACGCAGAAGAAAGCGAGCTCACGTGTTGAATTTTCTAAAAAGACTTTCTTAGTAATTTCTAAGTTAAGACCAATATTATAGAATGTCAATGAAGGTTGTAAAAACTTTACTGAAAGTTTTCGAGTGATGATATTGAGTTCAACTGGAACTGTCTTTTTTCCAAAGTTAAAGTCAATTTCAAATGTTTTAAGTTTTGTAGGCAAACATTTATATATTATATCACACATCCTGCAAGAATTTCCTGGTACTAAGGATGTGTTTGGAATGACTTCAAATGGTGTATCATTTTGGGGAAAACTCCAATTGAAGTCTATGTCAACATTGAAGTGATTATAAACTTTTACTGATGAAGATGTAGTGTAAAAGTCAGATGTGACCATTCCGAATTTTAATTTTTTTTCGGGTAGCATTAGGGTAGGGTTGCCAGTTTGAAGAGTATACATATATTTTCTAAAATACTTTTGATTTATGCTGTACTCAAAATTTCCAGTATAAATTCCTTCAATAAATGCTGAACAGAATAAAGTTACTTTTACTTCGCTTAAAGATTTCACGTATATTTTCAAAGTGCGCACTTTTTTTTCCGTGTAAAAAATATATTCATTGTGATAAAAATGTAAAGTAATATCAAAACTACTACAATTTTTGAAAGTCAATACTTTTTTAGCATAAGAACATAATCCTACTCGACCAAAATCAACCATTGCTGGATAAGGTGTAATAAGGAACACGTCATAAATTGAAAATATTTTACTATCTGCTTTCAAAAAATTTCTTGGTGAACTTGGTGTACTTCTTAAATCTACGTAACACTTGTCCTTCCCTATAATGCTTTCTTTACTTGCGGATATTGTTTTTTTTTTGGTATTTAATTTTGACATAACAAAGAATTCATAAGCCTTTTTTCGATATTCTTTAACTTTTGATACTTCATCGCTTACAAACGTATAGGTAGGATTCAATTCATTCAATGTATGTAATGATTTAATATAAACAGCACAAGTCTTTATAGGGTAAACTACTTTTACTTTACAGTTTACTATATATGGCATAAAATTGTTGTCATTATTTGCCGTATTTTTATCCATTAATATTGTATCAGATAGGTTAATTGCGTTTTTTATATAAAAGACAATTTGATGTCCTACTTTCAAGCTATTTGGCTTTACAGTAACACTTAAATTCTGTGAGGAAAAAGGCAATATACTAAATATTTGAGGAGATATGTGGATGCCAACTGCTTTCTGGTAATTAAATTTAGCTGTTACAAATGTAGATTCATTTCGTATTCTTATGTATTTTGTAACTTTCTTATTTAATGTAACTTGCGAAAAATCTAATATTTTTGGCTCGTGTAATATCCTAACATGCTCAAATTTGCCACAAATATAGTATCTACTAATTTCAGCATGTAATTCATTATCACAACATAATGTCCCATCTACTTGTATTAGACGTAAATCAACCACAAATCTATTGTCAAAATCTTTGAGTTGTTTAGCTCTTTCAATGCATTCATTAGTTGGCTTGAACGTTACTTCTATGGTATGATTGTCAACCATTATTATTTTGAAAGCCCTGTGCGACGCAGAAATGTCACGAGCCTCTTCAAATTTCTTAAAATTAAAACATACATTTATTATTTTCTACTTAAATTAAAAGTAAAACTGTAAATAAGCAATAATAAGTAAAGTAATAGCCAAAATAAGTCTAACCAGGGCTTGAAAACATTAGCAAATCCTATTAGAAAATTACGTTAAATATAACGATACTTCAAATTATCATTAATTTGTTACCGAAAATATAAAAACTTTATTAGTTCATGTCAATTATTAAAACATAACGTTATAGAATGAAATGTATCGTTAATGAAAAAACCACAGAGCATAAAATCGCCGCGCCAGCAACAATGAAATTGTTAGTTATAATTTTAAAAATTTGATTTTATAGTTTGTTAACATGTGCTTGTTATAATTATTAGTACGTCATTTTGCCCACAAATCAAATCAAATCAAATCTGTAATGTTAACGATTACTCGTAACGTCAAATTTTTATTGATTAAATTTCGTGGAACTTTTCTTAAATTTATCGTCAACGTGCTGATAGATAAAGAGTTGTGGTAGTTTAGGAAAGAATCGTAAATTTAACAATACAAGAGCAAATCGGGTTCCATTGCCACTGGCACCAATGAAATTATTAATTGCAATTTTAATTGCTGTTATACTACGTACTCGGTGGTGAAGGAAATATCCGTCACTTCACATGTCTTCGAAATTTTCCCGAATTCACACCCATTGGAGCAGTGTGATGGACTTCCTTGCCATAAGAAAAAAGTGGAGACCTGTGCCCAGGATTGGGATGTACATAACTTTACTCTTTACGTTCATAGATTAACGTTATATCATAACGTTACATGTAGTTATAACGCTACCTTTGACTGGCAATAGTAATGTTATCACTATTTTATTGGTATTTCAAGTCCTGCGTTTCAAGTTCAACGGTTAAGCACATTATATCACTTATAAACGTGTTGGCAATAATCTTGGCTTCTTGTTTTGGACAAAGCCTTGTTATATCTAACATATCTCTTATGGGAGACACGTATTGTGACTGGATCGGTGGACGTTGGAAGTTTGGATACCGACCAATCGTATTCAGACTGCGACTTGAGGTTGCAATACGACCTTGAAAAGTTTGGATGTGGAAATGATACAGTATCCTATCCGTCAACATATAAAGGACCCTATGCCAATACGCTGGCATGATATGGTATGGGTAATTATGGACATGTTTTTGACAAAAACCGTCAAAAACATGTCCATCCTAGTGATACGATGTAGTCAAAATGGGCGTCTACACTTAAGAAACAATCACTCGATATGATACGCCTGAACAAAACCCTTTCAAAACTAAGAGGAACATTATTTTTACAACTATGGAAAACCATATGTAGTAAGTCACAGAATCTTCTATTCTATTGCATTTCGTGGTAAATAAAGTTGTGTTGTATGTGAGTATTTTAACCTAGATAAATTGTGTGTAATAAGTGTTCCGACATATTACGGTAGACATTATAAATGTATTAGAACTAAATATCATACCAATGAAAAAAAGCAGTGACTAAGATGTGATACTTCTTGCAAACATCGAGTTGCTTAATGCATTACCTGATATGTTGTTGTTACTTAGGTTTAAAAAGATATGTATATTTCCATTTTCTACGAAGGCTTAGGGAGAATCAAAATATGTGCAAATAAACATTCAACGAAATTATTAAACCTAGAATTTCAGTTTTTTGGAGAATACGTAGAGATAACTTATTCGATTTAATATTACACCTGAGATGAAATCTTTTTAAAATTCTTATACCCAATCATTCACTATTGATTAACCAATATTTTATATTATTATAGCATTTTATAGCATTACAATGTAAGCAGAAGTGGTAGAGCGATGGGAAAGAAAGATTTTCAAGATTCAACCTCATACGGGCGCGAAGGGTAGACACTAAATAGAGTAACAACATGGTAAGAGAGGCAGAATGTCGATGGTTCAGAACCATCCTTTGTAGCATTCCTTGGAGAAGCCTATACACGCCTATAGCAGTGGATTTGTTAAGGGATTCCAGCCCGATAATGATGATGACGCTATAATATAAAATATAAACCGAATAAATAACAGATTCTGTCCTTAGATCATTTAACACAGAATTAGTTATTCTAACGGTTGAACATGTTACACATAAAAACTTTTCTTCTAGTTTTCTAAGTAAATATTATTATTAAACACTAAAAATCATACCATTAAAGCGCCCTGACACATAGTTTTTAGATATGCAGATGTGTATAAATCGGACTCCTCTATGTCAATTATTTTTGAGATAGATAATCCAACAATACATATGGGAAATTCAACCACTTTAAGTCTTTTATAAACATTTTCGGGATCATAATTAAGACAAACGGTCATATTTAAATAGTTTTTCAAAATGATTCAATGTGCGATAAAAACATTGTATGGGTATGAATATTAAGGAAAAATTAACTCAAAATTAAATTGAATATTTGAATAATAAAGCCAAAATGACAACTAAAGTGTCAGTCAATATTATGTAATAATGTCATTATTATAATTTACCTTTGAAAATCACTAAAAGAAGGTTACTACGAAATATAAAAGGTTTTTAATAATTCTTATAATGTGATATCCATATGGTATGTAATACATTTTATTTCGATTAAAATGCTATTCAATTCATAAATGCTTCCAAATTAAATATAATAAATATAGTTTTTTTTTAAGTATAAACAATTTTATAAGATAATTTAAAAATGGTACAATTACAATTTCAAAACTCTCTTTCTTTACAACGATGCTAGATGAGTAGAAACGCAGTGCCCTCACGAATGGGATAACGTGCCGGAGTAATATTGTAGATGGATGTAAGCACCGGGGGTGTGTCGTACGACTTCGACAAATTAGTTCGGGGCGGGGGAGCCCCGGTCGCCCCCTCTTGCCCTAGGGTTTATCAGATTCGGGGGGTAAAAAATGACTTCTCAATGGGAGGTAGGAGGGTAGTGCGCAGAACAAGCGGCGTATAGGGCGGGTATGGGCGGTGCCGCACGTGGGACAGGCTTTTACCCGCGCCGCGATGCCTGATGCACTGTTGTCGGCTTGCCACCTCGCTCTCGATATATAATCATCACTTCGAGAACATTTTCGCGGTCTGTACGGAATGCTAGACCTTCGAGCCAAAGTTCAATATTTGTGTGGTGTTTTTAGGACGTAGTTGTGATACATGGAAACTGGATACAGCGAAATTTTGCAGGACTGTAGGACACGTGACGGCCCTATGGGTACTACTCTCGACATGCATCCTCTGGACCCGCCACCTCCCGATGTGCTTCTTGCGCTTTTAGCTAGGAATAAAGCATTAGAAGGTGAGGAAGTATTGCGGGTGTTTTAAGCATTTAACTGTAGCCATTAACACTTTATTTATTTTACCATAAGAAGTCTTTGACAATGAGAATATTTAAAAAACCGTGTGTCATGTTACCGCCGTAGATGATCAGTAATCCATATTGTACGCTACAATTACCAAGGCGGACACGTGCGTAGCTCGGCGCCACGCGACAGGGCGGCTACGTCATGTGCGTGTCCCCGCTCGCATTCTGCCCAGCTTTTTGTATGGGCCTATACTAGTGAGCCCGAAGGGCTTCGCGTAATCAAGTTAAGTGCTCGTACAACACAGGAGCGTCGATGAGCTCTTTTCGATTTAAACGCCAACGCGCACCTATTAAACCGATAACGTCGCACTTAGTAAATTGTTGTTATACGAGGGTATTGTTTAAAATGCTTATATATAAGTGCTGTTTACAGTATCGGTACTTGATTTACTTTATAATTATAAAAAAATTTCAAGGTAGGGCTCCTACCAAGGCGCTAAGCAGCAGTATACCCACTACTATGTTCTGACTATAAGGGTAATTAAGCATGTATACATTACAAACTATGAGCCATTTCTTTGTAGTTCTAAGGACAACGCATCCGTGGCCTTCTTTGTCTAAATTTAGTTCTGGGTGTCTTTGGGCATACTAACTTAAAATGAGGTAGACTGTTAACTAGTTTCTCGTTAATGGTATAAAATGATTTTTTAATAATACTAGCTGGCCAGGCAGATGTTGTTCTGCCCTCTCCGACAACTCTGTGTCCTATAAAAATTCTTAAATTCGTAATAAAGAATATTGAGGGTCACTTACACTTACAGGGATAAAAACTATCCTATCTCTCAAGTTGGAGCAAACTGCACATAGTGTGCAAAATTTCATGGCAATCAGTTTAGTAGTTTAGGAATTCATCGCGGACAAACAATGTGACACGTAATGTTTATATATAAAGATTAAAAGTGATACGCTTATAGTCCACGTGTATGTGGTTCAACTACGTAAGAGATGATTCTCAGTCCGTAATAACATTGGCTTTACAAAATCTGCACCTTCGATTGATATACATTGGTCATTATGACTGTCACTGGGTCTGAGTTTAAAAAGTCTTGCCATACTAAAAGACCGTGTAGTGGCAGAGTAAGAATATCCACCACTCTATGTCGTCTCTTGGATGTCGTAAGAGGCGACAGATGAACACAGAGAAACAAGCCAGGTTATGGCTAGCAGAGAAGAGCAGGTCAGTTGCCAACCCGCCTAATAATCGTGGCAACTATGGTAAATATACCCCCTACGAGTTAATATATACGGGAAGCCTATGTTCAGCAGTGGACTATTATAGGCTGTAACGGAAACGGTAAACTAAAATAAAGTTTTTTCAAGTAATTCCACCCGTGACGATATTTTATATTTTCATAGTTTATAGTTTTTATAGCTTTTGTAACATTTTTATGATTAAAATTTTGGTAGTCAATTTTATACTGGCTAGAAATAATTTATGCTTATATTTTTCTTGGGAAAATGATTGGACAAATATTGACCTATAATTTTTAACCAGTATATTATGAAGTAAGTGGAGATGTCTCCTATTGTATTACAGCATTAACGCCGGAAACTGCCACGTGTTGACACGTGCGCGGCGAATCGCTTCCTTCCGGTTTTAAATTTTCACACAGCTACGGGATACCTTTTAAATGGTTTTCCTAAGATTCGATTTTTAATATCATAATATGTATAGAAGGAAGAAATAATAAATTTTATTAAAAATATGGTGTTAACTTTTTACTATCATAAGGATTCCTATAACACAGACGTTAATGCCTCCTCTACACTACTCGCGAAGTAACTTTGACGAAGTGCTCGTCGAAGTCGATTGCAGTCCGAAGAACGTGACCACACACTCGTGCTACTTCGCGAAGAGCTCAGTCGTCTTGAGTCTCCTGCAACTTTAACATGATTGACGTTCTAGAGGCAGCTGCTATAGGTACCTAATTGTGTGAACAGTACGACGTCAATGCGTTAACTAAATAAATAATTATGTAGAAAGCTACATATATAATATTTATATATAAAAAAAATATTCATTACTGGCGTAAGCCGAGTAGTGTAGTGAGACGCTTCGGGGTACGAAGTCCTTTGACTCTGGCGCAAAAAACCGACAGCGATCGGAAGTCGCCCGAGACGAAGCGAGGTTGCACGAAGCGAATCGAAGTACCTCTCTACACTATTCGCCTCGTCCAACTTCGATCTACTTCGCGAGTAGTGTAGAGGAGGCATAAAGCTTTATACGTATGTTTTAAACTATTCATAGTCTTAACAAAGTTTCAATACAAAACAATAATGTAAGGACTTAGAACCTGAAGCTAGTTTTCTTCCAAACCGTTACTGTCTGCGCACAAATTAAATAAAGTATTTTTTTAATGGACTCACTGAAACAGCTGACTAAAGGGAACCGGTTCTCCTTTCTACTGGAACGAAAAATTTCATCTTAGTCCTTACGGGTGACAACGCATTTACATTTTGAATCATATTCGAGGATAGATGTAGATATCTATGGGCCACAGCATCCACTTAACATCAAAAATGGTCTGTGTGCTCGTTTGTTTAATATTCTAAAAAAAAACCATCAAGTTATATGATGGGCTGAATGGTGCTTGATTTGGTACATTTTATTCTTAATTAAGTACACTAAAGCAACAATCTACATACATCCCACAGCACTCGTCTTCTTTAATTACTGAAAGAAATTATGGGTAGGAAAAAGTCCGCCGCACTATGTGTTGTTAGTCTTCGCATGCCTTCGATTTTTTTTTATTATCTAAGAAATGCATCTCTTCGTACGGTACTGTAAATGAAACAGAGCTTATCATTTTCAAAATCCTTAAATATAAAACTCAGAAATTTATCTATTTAAAGTTTTTACCTGGGTGACAAAGCTTCAACCGGCGTTAGAATAAAAAATATTTTTTGCAAGAATGACATCTACCAATTGTATACACAATAAAGTAAACATTTATAAATACAATTTTTTTTTAATATCTTTATTTCATATGAAAATTTGTATTAATTATTTGTGAATTTGTATATAATTGAATATAAGAACATCAATGGCGAGTACATCACTCACCTTCGATTTGCCGAAGATATAGTCCTTATGGCAGAATCGCTGGAGGACCTAAGCACTATGCTCAATGACCTCAATAGTGTTTCCCAACGGATAGGTCTTAAGATGAACATGGACAAAACAAAGATCATGTTTAATGTCCATGTCACACCTATGCCGGTAGTTGTTGGGAACACTAAGCTCGAAGTTGTTGACGAGTATGTTTACCTGGGACAAATAGTCCGACTAGGTAAGTCCAACTTCGACCGAGAGGTCAATCGACGGATTCAACTCGGCTGGGCAGCGTTCGGGAAGCTACGACACATCTTCTCGTCAGGTATACCTCAAAACTTGAAAACGAGACTGTACACCCAGTGCGTGTTGCCAGTGATGACATACGGAACTGAGACGTGGTCCTTCACTACTGGCCGGATGAGGAAGCTCAAGGTCGCTCAGCGAGCTATGGAGAGGGCTATGCTCGGAGTTTCCCTGCGTGATAAACTCAGAAATGAGGATATCCGCAGTAGAACTAGAGTGACCGACATAGCCCAACGGATTAGTAAACTGAAGTGGCAATGGGCCGGCCATATAGCTCGAAGAACCGACAACCGATGGGGAAGAAAGGTTCTCGAGTGGCAGCCTCGTACCGGCAGGCGAAGTGTAGGGCGTCCCCCCACTAGATGGAGTGACGACCTGGTAAGATATGCAGGAAGTCGATGGATGCAGGTGGCTCAGGACCGTGCTTTGTGGCATTCTTTGGGGGAGGCCTATGTTCAGCAGTGGACTTGTGAAGGGCTGTAATGATGATGATGATGATGAATATAAGAACAACAATATGTTTTCAAGTTTAGTCATTATTTGTAATCATTAATCCAAAAAAATATCCGATACAAATAATTAGTATTAAAACATACATGTATAGTATATCGCGATCGCTAATTCGATATAAAATATATAACTTAGCACTAACATCACTCTACTTTTCTTTTATTATAGATATAAGAATTTTATTATAGGACATAATTTGATTTTAAATGTAAAATAACTTAGAAGTAGTCGTATTTGATACAAAAATATATTATCTATCATAACGAAACAAATTATATGGGTCATATAGCTTTAGTCAGGGTTGGCTCATCATCCGCTCTGCGGGGTGCGACATCTGTCGGCTTCCGACCCTCTGTTAGGGAACGTACCTATCGTGACCTACCTGAGCTTTATGATCCTTGTTTAATCGCAACTGTTTTACTTAAAACTTAATTACTGTTGGTGGCTAGAATTATTATTAAAAAACAATTTACCAATGAAAAGTACCAGAAAAAATAGTAAATATAAATTTTCACCCTTTTGAGTACACAGTCTAAATAAATAAATTTAAAAGCTGTAAAATTGGTGTTGGACGATTTTTTTTCTTCAATATAAAATGCAGCAACCCAGAAGTATCACTCATTTACAGATAAAGTGCATACGGCAATTAATGTTCTCTTTCACCACGAGAAAAATTGGGCTTTGATAAATGAGAAAAGCCAGCAGAATGTGTACCAAGCTATTTCTAATTTGTTATATGTTGTTAATTGTGTAACATACATCATGATTGTAAGCTGTTTTTTTTAAAGTCTCGTTGTGTTTCTTGCTGGTTCTTCCTAGGGCAGAGGTTTTTTTACCGTACCAGTGGTAATTAAACAAAAGAGTGGCTTTCAAGAAGTATTATTTATAATCTATATTGGATAAAAAAGTTTTTGTTTCTGTTTCTGTGCAAATGATTTTGTAGCTAAATAGTTGTTAATTGTTTACTTAAAACTGATTCTATAGATAAAACCAGTTTTACAAAAAACAAATAACTGCTATCTTTACATCAATTTAAAAGCAGTTTAATAACGACGACTAAACCAAC